TCTGTTCCAGAATTAGTTGAAGAGGTTTCCATGTCAAGGAAAAAAATTTACAGTGTTGTAAGTCCGCGAGCTTTACAGTAGCTTAATATTGTGGAAGATTTCTAAAATCCGCAAATATTAGTACACTTGCCAAGGAAAAATGTGACTTAGATGTATCACATGAAATAGTACGCCAGGACATCGTACCGCATAGGTGCTCTTTAAGAGTTGCAGGGGAGAAACCACTGCTTTTATTGGTAAATGTAGAAAAACGCTTTATTTAATTGAACAATTTTAAGAGCTTTCGGTTATGGTATGAGGTCCATATTTAGCCGGGGAGTTGTAGTACTGGCATATATAGAGGACATCATGAATACCTCACATTTTAGACACGAATTTAAAGACATTTATCCAAATTTTAAATTTTATCAAGACAATGATTCAAAGCTTAAGGAGATTATTGGACTTAGCTCTTCTATAATTGTGGCAAGGTTCTTATTACACCACCACAAGGTCTCGATTTGAACCCCATTAAACATGTATGGGCATACCCAAAGAAAAGAGGGAGAAAACGAGAAAAGCTGCTTTCCTAGAGTGGCAAAATAGCCCTGTTGAAAACTTAATAAAGTTGGTCCATTCCATGAGACGCCTCCAGCATGTATTAAATGCTACGGGAGGTCATAATAAATACTAAGTTATTATTAGCATAATTTGTTATCTATTTTAAGATAAGAAGAATCAAATTGTTTTGTGTAAACAGTTTCTTGACAGTTTAAAAATTTAGTAATTTGGGCTTTTGTTGTTTTTTTTTTTTGTTACACATTTTTAGTTTTGTTATTTTTTTTTTATAATTTAACGCAATAAATATTATTAAACAGTTTACAATAAATCTATGATTTTTGTATTTTTTTCCAGTGTGTAGTTTCTTAACAATTAATACGTGACAGTTAATACGTATGGATGTGTGTGCGTGTCAACATATTTATGATAGTCGATAGTCGGAAAGTTTCAGACACTTGTGCTCATTTTCACAATGGACTAAAAAACAGACTGAAAATATTTACATACTTTTCGGAGCTCACTGAATATGCAACATAGCACCCAGATCTAGCCGTTGAAGTATGCTGCTTATAGCTTAGTGGAATTGAAACAGTGTGAAATATCTATATCTGTATGATTTTATGATCGTACGTGTGTATAAGAGTAAGCATGCATATGTGAGTATATATATATAGAATATAGTAGACCATAATGTTCGTATGACTGCTGGTTTATCAGAGTTGCACATTCATTGCATTTCAATTAGTTTAGTAAATAGCTTTAATTAATTGTATTATCAAATACTTTCCCACCAAGTTGAATGGGCTTAGACTAAGAATAAATGTTCATAGTATATATGTATATTTTTGCAGCATTTATCAATTCGTATATTAATTAGTTGACAGAACGCGCATCATTGTCTGTATTTCTTTTTTATAATATATATTATCTTACAGCTACATATACAATTATATATTATACATATAACTTCAGATAAGATAAATATGCTTGTTTGTTTGTAGAGAATGCATGTTTCAATATATGTATATGATTCATATATATATTTGTGACTCAAAATATGTTTCAAAGTTCCTCGGTTTTGGCGGGAACTCTCTTAAAGTTATTACCACTAGAATGCATAATCCATCGAATCTATTATCCATTTATACAATTTTGTGAGCGTTGTGGTACACTGAAAAATACACTTGCAGATTATTATTTCTTTTTATTATTATTATATATATTATTTATTATTCTTTTATATTATTTATTTGTTATATTTTTGTAGTTGTTGTTTGGCCAAGTTTCTTGTTCATGTGCTACTTATAGTTTTACTAATAATTTCTTTTGTTATTTGTTCAATTTAATTTTTAACAACGAAGCATTTTAACCTAATTTTTACCTCGACTTAAAAAAAATATTCAAAATCTTAATTCAAAAAATAGTTTTATTTCCTTTTTCATTCATGATTTAGGGCTTTAATAAATTTGAACTATTAAAAATAAATGCAAAACATTAATTTAAATTTAATTTAGTTTCCTTTAAGATTTAAATATATTTTCAGCAAATGTTGTCCTTAGTTAATTGAGAGAGGATGTGTAAATATGTGATCTAAGTATATAGTTAAGATTTGTTTTGTACTTTGCTAGAAATTCATGCAGATATGCTGAAATTATGCAAACGAATCATTGTTGCCTCTTAAACAAACAGATCAAGTTAACGAATTACTAACCAATTCCAATTCCACTGTTTCAGACCCTATTATCAAACCCAAATCCACAAACTATAAACAAATGCGTACCAAGCACATGACTAATTCATTCATAATTATAAAGCCTTCGAAATTTGTTATCGATTATATTTAAGTTTGTATCCTTATATCTTCATCGTAGATACAATTAAGCTATAGATTTCACATTAGGTCCAAAATCTAAAAAAATTATAATAATTGTATAAATTGCACATGATTTTGACCTGTTATATCTATATCTAACACGATACAATATATACAAATGTGTCATTTTAAAATGCGCCCTTTTAAGTTACGTCAATTTTTATATTTTTCCAAATCAAAACATACCATTCGGTGTGTTGATGCGTGCGCATGTGTGACACTTACACACATACAGTGATTCACAGCTTATTTCAACCAGCACCTTAAAAAAAGTTTGTTGGGCTATAAAATCTAAACTATTAGGAATATACCGAAAATTTAAATGCAGGTTGTTAGTGTGATGTTTAAACTAATATAAAATCAATTCATTTATTTTTTAAATATTTTTCAATATTTAATAATGTTTAAAAACGGCTTATTTCAACCACAAACTTTGCAGCTGATGAAAGATCCGTTATTTTGCAATGCAACGGTAGATTCTTGTTCTATGCTTTATTCACTGTTTTCGCAGTGTGATAAAATAATTTTTGCAGAACTTTGAAAGCTCAACTTGCAGAAAAGTGAATTTAGCAAAATGGGACCACGCACACCTATTGAGCAGCGGGAACTTGTTCTCAAACACTATAAAAATGGTCATTCCCGTAGAAAAATTGCTGAGATGGTATGATTTAGTGATTCTACAGTTCAAAGCATCATATACCGGTTTGTCCGTGAAAGTAGAACCCACGATAAAGGTAGAAATGCTCCAAACAAAATTTTTAATCCCACGGACGAGCGCTATATTGTGAGAAAAATCCGGGATAACCCGAATATATCGGCTCGACAAGTAACCAATGGTGTTAAGGAGGAGTTGGACAAGTCATGCCACCCAGAAACTATTCGCCGTGTGCTTCGGGAACATGACTTTAATGGCAGAGTACCACGCAAGAAGCCTTTTATAAGCGACAAAAACAAGACAAGGACATTGGATTTTTAATTTAATTTGTTTGGGATGGATGGGCCCTCATATGTGTGGCGTAAGCCTAACGCAGAGCTTGACGCAAAACATTTGAGGGCTACAGTAAAGCATGGCGGAGGCAGCCGGCGTTGGGAACTTAGAGTTCATTGAGACTACGATGGATAAAGGCAAATATCTTGATATTTTGAAGTCCAATTTAATTCAAAGTGCTCAGAAACTGGGCATAAAGGAGGACTTCAGATTTTATCAAGATAATGACCCGAAACACACTGCGGGAATTATCCAGACTTGGCTGATCTGGAAATGTCCGCACGTTATGAAACCCCCAGCCCAGTCACCAGATTTAAATGTAATCGAGAATTTGTGGTCGATTTCGGAAAAAGACATTCGCAAACACAATATATCCAACAAATCGGACCTAAATTCTGCATTGGTTGAGGAATGGGAAAAAATTACTCCAGAAGTCACCAAAAAGTTGGTTGAATCTATCCCAAAAAGACTTAAAATAATAGTTAACCAAAAGGGTGGTCACACTAAGTATTAATTTCTTATTATTTTATGTTATTTTTGTGTTATATAATGTTATTTCATAAGTGGTTGAAATAAGCTGTTGAACTGTTTTGGTCTCATTTTTTAGTTTTTAAACATTATTAAATATTGAAAAAATATTTAAAAAATAAATGAATTGATTTAATAATAATTTAAACATCACACTAACAACCATTTAAATTTTCGGGATATCCCCAATAGTTTAGATTTTATAGCCCAACAAACTTTTGGTAAGGTGCTGGTTGAAATAAGCTATGAACCACTGTATATATATATATATATATATATATATATATATATATATATATATATATATATATATATATATATATATATATATATATATATATATATATAATTCTTTTTTTATATATTATAGTATTATGCACGCAAATATTGTTGTAATTGGCACATATTTACTAAAAAAGTCAAATTAATATTATGCGATATAAATTTACGGTTTTATATACCACGAAGTCATTGCAAATAATAAATTTGTATTTCTGTTTGGTTTTTGTATGTGTTATTTATATTTCCCTTTTCTATTTGAGACCTTCATGTTGAGAATTGCAACAACGTGACAGGAAGCTAACATGACCTTCACGGGAACTTAAAAAGCAATAAAAAGAAAAATAAAAATAAGAAACATAAAAATAAGAAACATAAAATCAAATTCAGTTCTGCTAAACAGCTAACTACTCAGTTATTGAAATAAATTAATAATTGCAATTTATTTGTTTCATAAAATTGATTAGTGATTGTAAAATTGAACAAGAACAAATACTTTCGAATTTAATTATTTGCACTATTAAAAAAAAACGAAATAGACAGAATTGGGGGTTGATAGAAAATTAAGAACGAATTATTTTTTAACATCAATTTATTTGATTTTGCGAAATGCAAATTTAAACAAACAAAAAACTTATTTTTTTGTAATCTTAAAATTAATGTAATAGTGTGAAGATTTGGAAAGTTCTTCATATATTGAAATCTTCATTTCTTTTCCAGCCTAATTTCAGCATGATAAAAAAAATTTATTTATATTAATAATAATAATAATAGAGAAACACAATGTTGGTGATGTTTACAATTATAATAATAATAATGATAATGATAATAATAATAATAATTATCATAATTATAATGACAAAACGTTGATCAAGTTAAGCACAAACAAAAAGACAAGTTTCTATTAAGGCAAATTAGGTTAACAGCGCCTTGTTCAAAAGGCTAACTTAACATAAAGCTGCAAAAGTCGCATTGCGAGTATGGGATTCTGTGCATGTGTATGAATATGCCTTAAATTAAATCATATTTTTGTCTAAGTTTCTAGCGCTACCAAAGTTGCCGCCGTTTTGGCTTGTACATGAAAATCATTCAATTTTTCTTTCTTTGTTTTTGCCGCTTATATTTAATTTAAAATTTAAAAATTTGCACTAAACTAAGTTTACATAAAGGTTCCCTGCCTCAGCGGTGGGAGTGGATGGGTATGGATAGAAGGTGAGGCGAGGAAGATGTGGATATTAAGATTTGTGCTACATTCGACTGATCAATTATGCTAACAATGTTTTCATTATAAAGTTGCTGACCATGTTGGTGTTAAGCACTTAAAATTAATTTAACAGTTCAACAACTTTCGCTTTCTGTTAATTCAAACACAGGTGCCCCTTGGCGGAACAGGTGAATTGGATTGAATATAATTGGATGGGGGCATTATAAATAGGGTAAGTAGTTATAAAGTTATATCCACACTACATGGTTACTGCTAATGCGATGAGGTTTGAGTGGCGCTGCCGCATTTCAAACAAATAATATAAAAAACATATACTTATTACATATGGTTGCATATTTATGTTATTGTTTGTTGTTTATATCGTTACCACATTCAATTAGTAAATGCTACAAAGGGTGCAAAGTTTCAGATGTACTTAGGCGGCCGTATCTACCTCCTCGACTATATGATTGGGTGAGACCTCGCTGGGTGATGTTGTGGTTGCAGCCGCAGCAGCTGTTGCTGCTGTTGTACTGTTGCTGTTGTGCTTGGCCTTGGCTGCAGGTAGCGACGTCGCGACCAACGCGCTTACAGCGTTATATTGCGGTGTCGACTCCACAGTTGCCGTCAAAGTGCCCGAATTGGCATCGTATGGCGAGCACTTGAGCTTGCGAGCCTCGCGCTTCTGCTTCCGTTGCTGCATGACCAAACGCAATTGGTCCAGCTTTGACTTGGTCTTCAAATTGGTCAGTTCTACGACGCATTTTTGGCACATGTGCTCTTGCTGTGCATCCTCGTTGCCGCCGCTAGCCACGTTATACCGGCACATGCAGCCATTCGAGCTGTCCATTACTGTGGCATTTTGCGCACTGCCATTGCCGGCCATTGCAATATCGATGCAGCAGCCATGTGCGGAGGACTTGATTCTTCCAGCGATCGCAGCAGAGATACCTCCTTTGGCCACAAGGTGACCATTGCATTCCCCATAAGCACAGCTGCCAGCAGCCAAAGCTGCTGCCGTTGCTGCTGTATATTGTTGCTGCTGTCGTTGTTGCTGATGGGCGTGACTGTTGCATTTGCCGCAATTCTGATGCTTGCTCGAATACTGAAACAGAAAGAAATTGATTTGAAATTGAATGGTTTAATTCATAAAACACAGACATTTTGCCCAAGGTAGGTGCGGCACTTTCGATTTCATTTCAAGAGTTGTTTCGGTTCGATGCAAATTTCGTAATCTTTTATTTTAGTTAATCTGTACGCTCACTAGTTTAATTCAATGTTTAATTTTCGCACTTTCTTCTTTCTCAAATTTTCTACTTACCAGTTTGTTACGCAAGCCATGTTGTAGTACGCCAGGTGTTGCTGTTGATTCTGCTGCTGTTATAGCTGCTACGCTTTTACTATTGGATGTATTTGGAAAGCTGTTGCTGCTACTGCTGGATGGTGCCTCAAAGCTTATGCGTGCGCCACGACTGTATTGGGGCGTGGCACTTAACAGATCGTTAAGTATATGTATGACCGTTGATATATCACGCTTGGGCCGGCCAAAACGATCCTGCAGCGCCGGATTTAGTGTGCCCGAAAATGTGCCCGAGTAAATGCCCTTACCGTGATTTTTCATCGATTCAATGACAGCGCCGGAGCCACTTTTACGTGGTGCCTCCTCGCCGCCGCCAATGCCGCCACCAACGTCCATGCTACCACCGCCAGACAAGTCTATCTTATTGGTAAAAACTTCTTTGGAAAGCTTGCGCAATGTCTGAGTTAGATTACGCGATGCCTCGGCTAAATTTCGGGTATCAGATAAAGCCAGGCCGGCATCATCAAGCTCAGCGGTGGTGCTTGTGCTGGTGGCGCCAGCCACAGCTTCTGCTGTTGCTCCACTTTTCACCTCTTGGGGCTTAAGCCCTTCTGCTACAGCAGCAGCTGCAACTGCGGCGTGATGATAATGATGATGGTGATGGTGATGGTGATGGTGGTGCCGATGCTTGGAACGTGTGACGGTAATCGGATTATTGACTGTCTTATGTAGCGAATTGTCCACAATACTGCCAGGACCGAAACCGAAGCCGGGGCCAACAGACGCTCGGTTGCCAGTTACAATATTGGGATTTGTTAACGTTGTTAAAGCAGTTTCTGCTACTGCTGCTGATGTTGTTGATGTTGGTGGTGCTGCCGTTGTTGTATCTACTGGCGCTGGTGCAGGTGTTGGCAGGCGCGTGCATAAGCATGAGGTGAGCTTGGCGGCTATCGGATCCTGCTGGCAGCCATCGCTTATACAGCTAACAGAAGATGCACTAGAGTAACTGGAGCTAGCGCTAGTGCTGGCGCTAGAGCTGGAGCTCGAACTAGCGCTAGAGCTAGCGCTAGAGCTAGAGCTAGAGCTAGAGCTACAGCTAGAACTGGAGCTGGCAACGCCACTGGAACTGGCACTAACTGACCCTTGGGAAATGTGTATGTTCTTGATAGCTGTCGTTTTGATGGGAGACGAGACGAGATTTGAAAGCGACTTAATTGGCGATTGTTCCAGTAAAGGTTTTGAATGTGCCGATGAACCTGCTGCTGCTGTTGCTGCTGATGGTTGCCTGGATGCCTGGTTAGCCGCAGCGGCAGCGGCCGCAGCTGCCGCCCGCGGAGCAATACTCTTCACAATATTCTGCAGACTCGCATAGTCTCGTTTGCTAAGGAATGAACTGAGATCGGAGGACTTAATGGCTTGTTGTCCATGCCCATGTCCCGAACCTCCACCGGTTATGGTGCTGCTACCTCCGCCGTTACTGGAACGCTCCAAGTCGAGCTTTCGTGTTGGGGCGCCAGCGCTGGCAGCGGCCATCGCCGAGGCATTGTGATGGTGATGATGATGATGATGGTGATAGCTATGGCTGTGCTGCAGACTCGGATGCTGGTGGCTATGCACATGACCATTGCCAATGCGTCCGCTAGCCAATCGCTGGCTGGAGGAACGGGTCCGCGTATGTGACGAATGGGAGACACGACTTCCATCAGGATAGCTGCAGTTTATGGTTCTGCTAGGCGCTGAAGAGGAAGAACCACTGCTGGCACTGTTTTTGCCGCTGCCGGAGCTACTGCCGCTCGACACAGGTGGCAGGGCAGCCGTTGCGGCCGTACCGCCAGGATTAACGGTGCTCAATTGCAGCTGAATAAGCATCATATGATCTCCCAGACGCATGCTAAGATTCAATGGAGTCTTGCCACTGAGAAAATCATTAACCTGAGAGTCGTTGAGCGATTCCAGCGCTTGCATCACTGTATTCTCTGGACGCTGTGCCTGTAGAAAAAAAGAGACAAAGCGTAAGAACAAATATTAGAATTGGATATTCAACAATACAACGACCCTAAAAATGTGTACTTTCTTCAATATTTTCTGTCAATCACAAGCTTTAATTAATCTATAGCTTAATATCTATCAGCGAATAATCGATATAAATATATTGATTTATGATAATCTGTCCAGTTGTCCAACTGTGCACAAGGTATATTTATAAGGAATATAGGGCATGTTTATCCACTCCCAGGCTATCTGCTGTTGGTCGTGATTTAATGCTACGATGAAAGCAAGAATATTGAAACTACATGATGTAATGTATGTATGTATTGAAGGGTATATATATATTTCATATACTCAAGCACACGAACACACACATACCCATACACACACAACAACAAGAACAAAGTAAGTCAGCTCTGTAATTTATTTTCATTCTCTCTCTCGCTTTTTGTCTCTCCTTTTTAACAAATTACACTGGTTTACACCTAGACTTGTCTTCATTAAGTGAGCCACAAAAAAAATATTTTTTTAATTAAAAAGAGCAAAGATTTCGACATTAGCATATTCAGCTTGTTTCTCGCGTTTCAGTTTAGTAAATAAGGATGTTTGCAAAATAAACTCGTTTTGTATGGAATTGATAAGATTGTTTTTGCACGCTTGATAAAGCCTTATGCACACGTTTATTTGTAATTTTTACTGATCGACTTAACACTCTGAAAAAAATCAAACTAGGAAAGACAATAATAACAACAAAATAAGCATTACTACAAGACCGTATTATAATAGTAATTATAATTTCAAATTTGAAGTCTTTTTATACCCTGATACTATTGAAAATGAAAAATGGTCGATACACACTATTGGAAATATTAAAAAAAAAAAACGAAGATAGGACTGGGATCAGGGTATATCCAATTGAAGAGGAGTTGAGTTTTCTGGTACACCATATTTTTGGGCTGAATTATCAACTATGTAGCAGCGGCAGGGACTAAAGTATATACAGTGGTTCACAGCTTATTTCAACCAGCACCTTAAAAAAAGTTTGTTGGGCTATAAAATCTAAACTATTGAGGGTATCCCGAAAATTTAAATGTAGGTTGTTAGTGTGATGCTTAAACTAATAAAAAATCAATTCATTTATTTTTTAAATATTTTTTCAATATTTAATAATGTTTAAAAACTAAAAAATGAGACCAAAACAGTTCCACAGCTTATTTCAACCACAAACTTTGCAGCTGATGAAAGATCCGTTATTTTGCAATGCAACGGTAGATTCTTGTTCTATGCTTTATTCACTGTTTTCGCAGTGTGATAAAATAAATTTTTGCAGAATTTTGAAAGCTCAACTTTCAGAAAAGTGAATTTAGCAACATGGGACCACGCACACCTATTGAGCAGCGGGAACTCGTTCTCAAACACTATAAAAATGGTCATTCCCGTAGAAAAATTGCTGAGATGGTTGGATTTAGTGATTCTACAGTTCAAAGCATCATATACCGGTTTGTCCGTGAAAATAGAACCCACGATAAAGGCAGAAATGCTCCAAACAAAATTTTTAATCCCACGGACGAGCGCTATATTGTGAGAAAAATCCGGGATAACCCAAGGATATCGGCTCGACAAGTAGCCAATGATGTTAAGGAGGAGTTGGGCAAGTCATGCCACCCAGAAACTATTCGCCGTGTGCTTCGGGAACATGACTTTAATGGCAGAGTACCACGCAAGAAGCCTTTTATAAGCGACAAAAACAAGAAGTGTCGCTTAAAATTTGCCCAGGAGCACTTGCACAAGGACATTGGATTCTGGAATACTGTTTTATTTTGCGATGAGTCCAAATTTAATTTGTTTGGGTCGGATGGGCCCTCATATGTGTGGCGTAAGCCTAACACAGAGCTTGACGCAAAACATTTGAGGGCTACAGTAAAGCATGGCGGAGGCAGCCTTATGGTTTGGGCCTGTATGTCAGCAGCCGGCGTTGGGAACTTAGAGTTCATTGAGACTACGATGGATAAAGGCAAATATCTTGATATTTTGAAGTCCAATTTAATTCAAAGTGCTCAGAAACTGGGCATAAAGGAGGACTTCAGATTTTATCAAGATAATGACCCGAAACACACTGCGGGAATTGTCCAGACTTGGTTGATCTGGAAATGTCCGCACGTTATGAAACCACCAGCCCAGTCACCAGATTTAAATGTAATCGAGAATTTGTGGTCGATTTTGGAAAAAAACATTCGCAAACACAATATATCCAACAAATCGGACCTAAAAGCTGCATTGGTTGAAGAATGGGAAAAAATTACTCCAGAAGTCACCAAAAAGTTGGTTGAATCTATCCCAAAAAGACTTAAAATAATAGTTAACCAAAAGGGTGGTCACACTAAGTATTAATTTCTTATTATTTTATGTTATTTTAGTGTTATATAATGTTATTTCATAAGTGGTTGAAATAAGCTGTGGAACTGTTTTGGTCTCATTTTTTAGTTTTTAAACATTATTAAATATTGAAAAAATATTTAAAAAATAAATGAATTGATTTTATATTAGTTTAAACATCACACTAACAACCTGCATTTAAATTTTCGGGATACCCCCAATAGTTTAGATTTTATAGCCCAACAAACTTTTTTTAAGGTGCTGGTTGAAATAAGCTGTGAACCACTGTATATTCTTAATCAGGACGACAAGCCGAGTCGATTGAGCCCTGTCCGTCTGGCTGTCCGTCCGTCTGTCCGTATGTGTGAACGCGTGGATCTCAGCATATATAAGAGCTAGAGACTTGAAATTTTTTTGTAGGTTCGTGTATAGCACGCGCAGGTCGAGTTTGTTTCAAATATTCGAGAACTATTCGCATTTAATTGTAATCGAATAAAAATTGTATTGAAATGCAGTAAATAAATTATATCTCGAACGTCTTAAGAAATTTTGTATTTAGTTTTATGTATATTTTATGCAATTTTGATTTTTGTTGGATTTTGGACATCGGCTCCAAATTCCCCCAAATTCTTAAAATTTAAGTTTAGTTGGAACTAGGGCCACTATGTGAAGGCGTTTGCATCTCAACCAAGCCAATAGGATATGTAGATCATATGCTGAAAATTTCATTAAAATCCATTAAGTAAAACAGAAGTTATTAAACAAAACGTTTGGCCAATGTACAAAAGCACATGTCAGCAGCGCCACGCGCACGCATTTTTCCTATGCGTGTGCACACATACATTCAAATGCGTGTATTCTTTTCTATTCCAAGAATTGAAATTGCGCTTGAATTGTGCTGAATTATGAGCTGCTACTTATGTTCAAATTTGCAACGGTTCGTGTAAGAAGGGCAGTGGCTGCGTTGGTAGAGGCGGCGCTCGTATGCAGCTCGGCCCGGGGTTCGAGACCAGTGGAGATGAAATGTTTTTTATTGTTTTATTTTTTGTTAGTTATGAAGTGGCGGTGTTGGTAGAGTTGGTGCACGTTGCGCAAATAATCCTGATTCGAAATCTGGTCTCGCAATGTCGATTTTTATTTGTTTTCTTTTTTTTTTAATATTCGATACAAACTACGGAAAATTTAAAAAAAAACTCAGAGGACTGGGATCAGGGTATCTCCTAGTCGGGCACCCCGACTGGAGCTTTCTTACTTGTTTTTTTTTTGTTTTGAATACTCGATACGGGAAATATTAAAAAACTCAGAGGACTGGGATCAGGGTATCTCCTAGTCGAGCACCCCGACTAGAGCTTTCTTACTTGTTTAATTATGAAGTGGCGGTGTTGTTAGAGGTGATGCGCATTGCGTAAAAATTGTGAGTTCGAATCTTGGAGTCGTAATGTAGATTTTTATTCGTTTTTTTTTTTTGTATACTCGATACAAGCTACGGGAAATATTAAAAAACTCAGATAGGACTGGGATAAGGGTATCTGCTAGTCGGGCCTCCCGACTACAGCAGTTTTACGTGTTCTATGGTTTTTTATCGTTTATTCTGGCTTGTCAAAGCGCTGAAGAGTTGGCAACACTGGTTGTTGTCTGTATGTGTGTGTTGTTAATTGGTGATAAAACAACACGTATTTGTTGTTAGATTTTTCTATAGATTGCTGACCATGAAAATGTTTTTAATGATAAACTTAAAAAAAAAGTAAAAACTGCATGTGTCCATTGGCCCACAGTTTTGTGGTTAAGCGCGAGCTCAAAAGTATTTTAGCATTTGAAAGCCATTAGAATCCACCAACCAACGCCATGACGCACTGATAACAACTGCCTACTCTGTCCACTCTAGAGCTTCAAACAATAAGCAACAAAAATGCTCCATTTGGCGGTGCCTGACTAGGAGATACACTGAAACCGGACTGATCTACATTTTTAAATATTTTTCACGTTAAAAAAATATAAAAGAAACTGACATTATAGCCCCAGGACTTACACTAACACCTCCTACGCAGCACGCATGTATCGCATCTACCAACATTGCCTACCGCCTGTTACATACATTTTCACACAACCGTTATACCCGGATTTCCCATATAAAAACACAACCAGAACAAAGGAGACGGCAGCTGGCGCCACTGCTTGTTTGCCTCCGTTATCTAAGCAGCGGCGCTGACGTTGCTGTCGACGTAGCTTTGCACTTGCACGAACAGTTTGAAAGCTACTGACCGGCAAGCGCTGAAGCGGCTACGTAGCCGGTTGTTTTATAATAGTCCAAAATAGTCCGTGAATGGTTACGAAACTAAGATTTTATGCTGATGGAGTGGCCAGCTCAAAGTCTCGAACTCAATCCGATTAAGAACCTGTGGTCAATCGTGAAGCGCGCATCATCAATCAATGCCATCCAACCTAGACGATCTTTGGAAGCGTCTAGAACTGAAGTGGAACCGAGTTCCAAAGGAAACCATAGAGAAGTTGGTCGAGAGTATGCCAAACTGAATAAAAAATGTAATAGCTAATAAGGGCCTGTGGACAAAATATTGATTTAGAATCATATTTAATTTTGTTCACTGAAGGTGCAAAATTGTACA